CCCCCGGCCCCCGTTTTTCCTCCTATTCCCCCTCAGTTCCCTCGCAAACACGTGGCCTTTTTCATTCAGTAAAAGGAAATCCCGTACGTGGGATTGTACGAAGGATAGTAGGTAAAAGAAAGTGGTAGAGAAAACGAAGGAGACGTCTCCCCCCTCTCTCTCTCCCTCGCCCCGTTACATTATCAACTCCGTTATAACGCCGTATTCGTAATACTCAAGTACTCCACAGTTACCTCTATCCTCCTCCAATGGACACTGGTATGTGCGAGTATTCCGAGTATTTCCCTCGCAAGATGAGTAAAAAAACGAGTCATCCTCCTTCGGGCAACATCTTCCTCCCCACAGCCACCCCCCCGGACACTTGCCTCTTTCGCCTCCTCTGGATCCGACCTTCCGATCCACTGTCGGTCTTTTCACGGGATTTACACCTGTTGGACTTGCCATTTGCGACCTCTTCCTATTTTTCTTCTCGTCCTTCCCCTTCGCCTTGATCTTCAGAGGAAGACGCGTCAAGGTCCTCGGACTCTCCTCTCCTTCTCCTCCTCCTCCGCCCCCCCAGGACCACAGGATTCATAACATTTTCACAGGATTTCGGGGAAATTGAATGTCAATACATCGGGTAATGTCAGTCTGCATTAATAATTGCTAGGGCGATGCCCTTGAACCCTAAGTATTGATTGGTGAGGTTGGGATTCTGGTGGGTTTTCCCCTCCTCGGCTCAGCCGTCTGGCCGCTTCCTCTCTATCCCACCGTCTATACACGTACACAGATACTGTCTTTATCGTTCTAACAAACGCGTTATTTCTCGTGCTCTCTCGTCCTGGAGTACAGTCGTCGGCGAGCCCATCCTGCATTTCACCAATCCCTCGTACCCTCGGTGTCCCGGCGAATTTTCGTTACTCCCTTCCGCCGAGTGGACACTAATCAATTTTTTTGCGGGGATGTGTCTGTGATTTTTAGGGGCACTCTTTCGACAGCGACGTCTATCGGGAATTTGGAAGAGTTGAGATTTTTATAGAATATTCGGGGTCATTGTTGGGGCTTTTATTAAAGAAATCATAAGGGGGTGTATTCTTGGTGCAGCAGTTGGACTCATCGTGGACACGTCGGGGGGGTTATTCTGTTGCCGGTGCGGCGATGGGTCCTTGTCTTGCGAAGTTGATTGAGTTTTTTAGAAAATGTGCGAGTGTTCTCGACAATCGGCGAATTTTTTAGGATTTTTTATAAAACCGGCGAATGTTCTCGTATTTTTTAAAAACCGGTGAATTTCCTAGAAAATCGTAGAATTTCCTCGAATTGTCCAACAAAATCTAGAATTTTCTAGAATTCTGATAGATGGCACTGGCCCTTAGGGGTAACTTCGCGAATGACACGCCAGCATGAAATTGAAGAAGTCTGCCCGTTAATAATCTTGAATAATCTTGAGAATTCGAGTAAAGAGAAAGGTCTTGCATACTGCAATCAACGTAGAAATTTCTAAAAAATTCTAGAACATTCTGAAAAATTCTTAAACCTTCTGGGGGATATTAAAAATTTAGTGAAAATTCGGAGCTTCTCCACAGAATAATGATCACGTCAAATTACGGTTGTATTAAAGATACATCCACCTGCAGATTTTTTTTCATATGATGTTAAAACTAGCGACTAGTTAAAACGCAGGACTAGTTCAATATTCACCAGTGGAAAATTCGATTCAGGAGATCTTTAAGAGTTTATGGGTCAAACAATTATACTGAACAGCATTGAAATGGGAATTCCTCGAGCTAATTGAATTTTCAATGAAATCACGAACATTTAGGGCCGAAATACGCTGAATTTTCACTTAACTGAAAATTCAACAATATTGAAATTTCGTCGAACTAAAATGTGATGAAAACTTCCAAAAAATGTACCGGAAATATCAGTCAGAAATTTATAACAGTGTACTGTTGGAAAATTACTCTTGAAATTTCAGGTAAAAAATCTTGAAATTTTTAACAAGGAATAATTTGCATAGAATTTCCGTTGATCTTGTTATTGATAAATCAGTCAATGTTCTTGAATATCCAATGAAATTTGCTTTCTCAAGTTCACACAACAATGGAAATGACTGAAAATTCAGGCAACTTTTCTTCTTAATTTTCAATCTGTTGTTTAATTTTCGCGATAGATTTGAAAATCCAAATTGCCCTTGAAAATTCCATAATAATTCATAATGAAAAACTCAATTTTATCGAATTTCCAAGATGAATCAGGAACTCCATGAGCAATTTAGTCAGAAATTGAATTCAAGTTCAGAATATTGACAATTCAAAAGCATCTGTTCCTTAAATTTCAAAAAATTCCTAACCCACGGAGAGAAATATTCAATCAAAATTAAGTATCTTTTCCGTACCTTCGGAGTGAAATGTGATTGTCGGAAATTTTGCGGAGCTGTCACGGAATTTTTCCAGAGTGTTCCGCAATTTTTATCTGAATCTCCTGTAAAACATTACGATAGCATCACTCAAATTTTCTGAGTCGATTCCACAATCGGTGAGCGAATTGTGAGTTTCGTAAAAAGCAAATTTCTTCAGGTGCAGATCAGTTTCCTCATCCCTTTAAAATATTAAACCCCCTTAGCCTCACCTGAATCGAACGTTCCGCTAGTTTCAGCTTAATTTTTCCCACCTAATCTCGTCACTCGTATCATTTGATTTGCAATGACTTTCGCGGGAGCAAATGGGAGGGTGAAAATCCGGGGGATTTATCACGAATGAATTTCAAGGGTGGCGATGGACGAATGAGAGTAGCCGTGGACGTTAGTAGGCATAACAATCGAGATGGGGAACTGGGAAAAAGGTAGGACCAGACTGGAGGGGTGGTCGATACGGCCCTGGGGTCGCGACAGCTCCCTCCCCCTCCTCATTCTTCCTGCGGGCGTTTTTGCCTTCTCCGCCGCTGGCTGCGACACCCCCTTGGACGTCACTGTCGCTGCTGTGTGGTAGTCCCCACAGTATTTCCCTCCTCAAAGCCACCCTTCCACCCCCGCCGCCCCCGCCGCCTCCTCATTTCACCTCTCTTCGGTAGTCCGCGTAATCGCACCAGCCCCTGGGTTGATTAAAGAACAGAGGAAATCGCCGGCCAGCCGGAGCACAGGGAGTTGAATCCCTCTCCGATTTAATTTTCTCTTTTTTTCTTACGTTTACGAATTCTTTTTGGGGTCGGAGGGGAGGGAATTGAAGGGGGGAATAGAAAATGGTGACTCAAATGATGATGACGAGCTGGGGGTTTTTATTTTTGGAAGACTGATAGGATTGATTTCATTGCAAAATGCCCGGAAACTTGGGATCTAATGTGACTCAAATGAAAGCTCTGATGTTCGAGTACAAAAAAAGAAGTATTTCACTCTCGAAAAAATTGTCAAAGTCCTTGGATATCCTTAACTGTTATCAAAGTGATAAAAATTGTTATTAAAATTAAAATTCATGCACAATGCCAATGTAATTTTAAACATCCTGTGTGAATTCCGGATTCGCGTCATCAAAAACTTTCTATTTTTTTTTCAGGGTTTAAAAATGTGTTCTAATGGTTCAATATCAAAATTCCAATTCAGACCTGTAAAGTTTAAACAATAAAATCACTGTAAAATCGCCGTAAACTTGGGGTCGAATGAAAGCTCTGATGTTCGACTACAAAAAAATAAAACTATTTCACTCTCGAAAATGTTATTAAAGTGATAAAAATTGCTATTAAAATTAAAATTCATGCATAATCCTAATCTAATTTTGAACATTCTGTGTGAATTCCGCTCTAATGTCATCATTTTTGAACGAACTATCTCAAGACCTGGTCTCCAAAAATTGTAATCCCCACATTCTAATTTCTGTACACAAAGTCTCAATGCAAGACATGAAATCTGTCGAAGAATTAAGAAACTCAATTGTGTGCATTGGTAATTTTGCCATTAAAATGCAGTCTCGGTGTTAACGTGCCCCATTAATTGCATATTCCAGTCTCTGCTAAAAACGGCTGATCAATTGAAGATCAAGGGCCTCTGTGAGGTGCCTGAGAGCAAAGAGGGATCGGCATCAGTCAGTCTGAGTTCACCACCCCGAGAGCCTGGTACACCACGATTAAACTACACCAAGTTGAAGAGACATCATCCCAAGTACAAAAGAGCGAGAACATCGTTTGAGGCGATAACAGGGAGTTCAGACTCAAGGCACTACGACAAGTACAAAGACGAGGATAACGAGGGTGGTAGTGGGGCCACTGATTTTAGCTTTGGACGGGAAAATAATAAAGAGGTGAGGGATTATGAGTATTTGGATTGGAGTTGTTGAATGATTTCGGTGGATTCCGGCGTCAGTTGTTAAGGAGGATAAGTCAACTCGGAATTCAGGGCGCATTCTTACACTGAGTGAACAAACAAACACGTTGTCAAACAAGTCTTGTTTGGGCCAACAAAATTGCTAGTTGAAAATTGCCAAAAAAGAATTTGTTTGGTTCGAATTTGAAAGCCTCAAACATGAATAATTGTTCTGCTTTCGATAGCACCGAAATACATATTTGGCTCAAGAGACGGATAACTAAGATTTTTCGGGAGAAAAATACGTATGGGAGTATCGAATAACGAAGGAGTAGTGCTAGAAATGACATTTCTTGCGTGTAGAGAGAATGCAATTTTTTTTTAACTACTAAATCTATTTCTGCGACAAAAATTTTTCACTCCGGCGCACTCTCTGCATGTTTGGCACAAAAAAATCCTTTTCAATAATTTTCAAAGAAGTATTTTCTTGACACAAGTAAGACTTGTTTGAGAACTTTGTTGTTTTTCTCTCAGTGTAGAGATGAAAACATTTGAAGTGAGGGAGAATGCAAAATTATTGTGATGACTTTTGAAGGAAATATTTTTACGAATATTTAACTAGGTTTTTGTCGAATTCTTGTGACAAATCGGAGTTTTAATTTTTTGCGAGACAATTTTCAACGAATTCGCAGAATTTCTCGGGGATTTTTGCATTTCTTTGCAGAAGTTTTTGATAAATTACAGTTTCATCTTTATGAATCTAATGAAGATGTCAACATTCTCATAGGAACTCTTCTACCGAACCCGTTTTCTTCTGCAAAATAAAATCCTTGGGAGAATTTTATCCGCCTTGTACTCCAAAATATGATACTTGATCTCAAAATCGACTCGTCCCCCTCCGCCCTTGAATTCCCGATCCCCAAAACCCGTGATTAACGATATTGGCGCAAATTTCGCGTCGCTCTCCCGTGCACATAGAAGCCCAAAGTTAAATTTGTACCGGATGTTGGGTCCGTAGAATCACCGAGGTGACTGGCAGACAACGACGGAGGATGAGGAGTGTGGCGTTGAGGCAGTAGTCCTGGAATCCTGCCAACGAGACATCAACAACGGTAACGGAACAAACAACAATAACGGTAAGCCAATCTGTGAGCCGAGAATTTCGCCCCACACCTGAGTCTCTCAACCCTCACGCTGTCCATCCGATGGATCACATAGCTTTTGCATGAGGGAAATTGATACGTGAGGGTTTACACCCGGAGAAATGATGCATTCGAGTCGAGCAAAATTTTTTATTTGAAATTTTTGGTTCATTTTAATGAGAATGTTTTCATTTGTGGAATAAACTGTTCATTCATTGCGAATGAGGCATTATGACGTATTGATAAATTCATTTTTTAATTGATTAATTATTTATTTAATGTGAATGCAATTAATTAACGCGTTAAAAAAACCTCATTCAGTTGATTGAAATAAATTATTTTTCTGAGAATGAGAGAAATTGATACGTGAGGGTTTACACCCGGAGAAATGACGCATTTGAATCCAACAACATTCTTTAGTTAACAATTTTCTGTTCATTTGAATGCGAATGTTTTCATTAAGAGTTGTTTTAATTTAATGTTTAATTTAGAATGTTGGAATAAATGCAGAGACAGCCATCAATCTTCCGATTCTTCAATATTAAAATAATTTCCGAATTACATTGATCAAGGTTTAAACATACTAATCTAAATTTAAAAATATGGAACGATAAATTTTCTGTTAAGTAGATAATACTAAATTTCTTATAAGGGATTTCTGATTATCCAAATAATCGTCAATCTTCCCAACTCAATTACTGATTAATGAATAATTCGAAATTTCACTCTTTAAATTGATGATTACTTCCATAATTAAAATTTAAGAGTGATATTAACTAATTAACCACTTGATGACTTCACAGTAATTATAATTTATGGATATAGCTATCGCTAAATAAATGATTCATTCACTGCAAATGAATAAAAATTCCCACGAAAAGTTCAAGTTTGAATGAAAATTTTATTGAGACTATTGCGTTAAAAAACAATAATGGGTTGAAAAAAATTGTATTCAGTTAATTCGAATGAATTTTTCTCTGGGTATGCTCGGATGTGGGGCGATTTACGACATTCGTTGGACATCCGGAACAGACGTTTTTCACTTTGAATAAAAAGGTGATATGTTTTGTCACACAGGACTAGGACACTATGGCCATCATCCGGATCCAGGGGATGTCGATTTGCCCCCGGAAACGCAACCAACACCACCCAGTGCCACCCTGGTGGGCACGACTGTCACGCATCTGCGAGACTCAGATCATGTCACAGGTAAAATGAGGATTGAAAATACCACAATTGTTATTTCGGCCAATTATCCCTGATAACATCATTTTTTTCGGATTTACACTCGTCGAATGATATTATTTGTCCAAAATATTAGCAACGAAACGGAAACAAATTGAGACGATCCTGACAATTGAACACTATAATTTAACATTCAGTAGAATTTCAATTCTCATTGCCATGTGTATCTGAAGATTTAACTTTTACTGAACATTCCAGAAATCAACTGGTTCATCAATAAAAAAAATAGAAACTCTAAGTAAATTAATCGTTGCTAAAAATTTCCAAATGAATTTTCAAACACTGTTATTAGTTGAATTATATTTTCACAACAGACTTAGTATATTGAGAATTCAGAGCGATAGTTGCCTGAATTTCTACAATTTCCATAATCACATGTCCCTGAAGATTGAGCTTTTATTGAATATTCTAGAAATGAAGAGCCATCAATAAAAAAATATATTCACACTACAGATAAATTAGTCCAAACGGTGTTATCACATCAATAATATCTTCACAATAGTTTCAATAGATTGAGAATTCAGAGCAATAATTGTCTGAATCTCCCCATAAATTGCTCATTCTTAAAAATTTGAAGATATATTTATAAACTGTGTCGACACTCGAATTACATTTTCACAACAGGTGAAGTGCACTCCCCACCCAGACTAGTTTCCCCACAATGAAAACACTCGAGATAATTCCCCGATAAAAATTCCACAAATAAACTCTTCCCAATTGAGAAGACTCTCGTGAAGGAATGAATAATTGATCCGCAACACTACATTCATCTGCACGCGACTCTAAAAAATCCACCAATAAACGAATAATTGAGAAAGACGTGAAAACTAAGTACGTTAATAAAGCTCAACAGCACACGATTAGATTTGCCAGTGGCCCATTGTGCCATGCCCACGCAGTATCATTTATTACACTGACAGTATCAGACTTGCTGAAACAATACACACAAACTGTTTACATTGCAGATATTCAGAACTGCGACAGTGTTAAGATAAAGTTTGAAACCCTCCATACGATGGACTCGTCAGACACAATTGACATAGACAGCCACATGTCGGATCGTGCCAGTGTCAGTTCGAAGCATGGTGCTGAGAGTGACAATATGATGATGATAACACCCGAGCTTTTGGGCCTAATGCCGTCGGGGAGTTCTGTGCACTCGGACTCGGGGGAGAATAATTCTAGGGGACATTCTGGGGGCTCGGGACATTATCATGGCACTTCCAAGTCGTGGACGCAGGAGGATATGGATGCTGCACTTGAGGCACTTAGAAATCATGACATGAGTTTAACTAAAGCTTCTGGTGAGTTTCATAATTGATAGATATATTTATGGAAAACTGCAAGGAGTGGAATTTTTTTTGCGGAATTTGAGAAATCAAAATAGACTGTATGTACAGAATGTCTATTTCAATTTGAACTAGTGGATTGGACTGTTGGTCGCTCGCTGCGCTCGCTCCCATTGCGGGTGGGTTGGTAGCGGATGTATTCATGTGGGTCTGACCCGTCGGACGGGTCGCACCAACAACTTCCCGATATTATTATTCCTTCCATTTTGACTAAAAGAATCCTTTTCAACTCTCAATACTCTGTTTATTTGTTCATGAGAAACCCTTGTCTGTGTTCGTTGCTTTTTTGTCATTTTGAAATTTTCTTTCCGGGAAAACTCAAAAATCACTAAACAGATATCAGCCAAAATCTAATCCGCTCTAATTTGAATGAAAACCTATCGATTGAAAAAAAAAAGTCAAATCGTACAATTCGTTCACGAGAAATCGTTAACCAAAATTTTGACCACGTACATACCTAGTAACACACACACACAGACAGACATTTTGTTTAAAATTGTCTAGGAACATCGAAAAGACCTTGAAAGATGGAGATTTGATGAAAAATCGATTTTTGATTTTCGGGGCCATTACAATAACTTCCCTGTCGGGAAGTTAATAATTATTAACCGATCTAACATTTTCGATTCAATTATTGTTAACGCTCTCCAGCGACATTTGGAATTCCCTCAACGACGTTATGGCAGCGAGCCCACCGTCTGGGCATAGACACACCAAAAAAAGATGGCCCAACAAAATCATGGAGCGATGAGAGTCTGAACAATGCCCTTGAGGCCCTGAGAACCGGCACGATATCAGCGAATAAAGCATCAAAGGCATTTGGAATACCGTCCAGTACATTGTACAAAATAGCCAGAAGGGAGGGTATACGATTGGCAGCGCCATTCAACGCGAGCCCGACAACCTGGTCACCAGCGGATCTTGACAGAGCACTGGAGGCCATCAGATCCGGCCAGACATCGGTTCAGAGGGCCTCCACCGAGTTTGGCATACCCACGGGGACGCTATACGGTAGATGTAAGCGTGAGGGCATTGAATTGAGTAGGAGCAATCCAACTCCCTGGAGCGAGGACGCCATGACTGAGGCGCTGGAGGCTGTTCGGTTAGTTTCATTTCCATTTTTATTTTTTTTATTCTTTTTGCTCTTCGTTACATTAGAATTTAGATGAGTCCAATTGGTTTGTGAATGCCTGGGAGAGGAATGAATCAGTGTTGGGGGGATGTGGGGTAATTAAAGATGAGAACTAGTGGGTTTTGATGAGTATCTTGGAGTTTGAGAGGAATTTTCCATAAATATTGCATGATTTTTTGCAAAAAATTTGATGTTTGATTCATTTTGGCTATAGTTGAATCACACTATTAGGAAAAAATTGAAATTTCATTGGTTGTTGACTAGTAATTTTCAGGTGAGGGGTATTGAAGGAGAAAAAATTATGAAATTTACAGTTTCCAGTGATTTTCCCATAGTTTTTTTCAATTTTCAACAATGAAATTCCTTAGAATTTCAGCACAACTGAACCTATTTCAGCCGAAAATTTGTAACAGTACACTTGTTATAAAAATAAATCTCTTGAGTTAAATTCAACATTTGTCAATTATGAATTTAACTAAAACATCGAGATTTCAATGAAAAAAAGGGAATGGAAGATTAAATATCTCTCGACAACGTTCAGAAGTGATAAAATTTCTCGTCAGAAATGTTTCTAGACCCAATTAAATATCTCCCAAAGTGAAAAAAAAAAACGAGAACTTTGACTCTTATTCATTATTCACATTTTTTAAAGTAACCAGATGAGTAATTTCAAGAGAAAATGTCAACAAATTTTTTTTGAAGCTGAATAAATTTCTAAAAAAGAGTCTCTTGACATTTTCCACTAGAATTACACATTATCCACATAACTTCATATTTAAAAAGTTGTGAAATAGTGCATTTCCTTATAAACAAGTTATTCCGTTAAAAAAAATGTCAGCCTTTTATTTAAACTAAATGAGTTTTAAAAAATGTCATGATATTTTCGCACAAAATCCAAATCCTCAACACAATGTAAAAACTATATTTTTTCTTTTATGTTTCAACAATCTCTAATTAATCTGCATTTTTACATCTCATAGCTCCTCTTCCTAAAATGATAACTCAAATTAATGGAGTTGTTATTTTCATTGTTCTGCAGGCTGGGCCACATGAGCATCAATCAAGCAGCTATACATTACAATTTGCCGTACTCATCACTGTACGGACGCTTCAAGCGTGGAAAATACGAGGAGCCAGTGGTTAATGAAATGTCACAGGACGGTACAAGTCCACATTTCCATCAGAGTCCACACCAGAATCACTCATCACCACTTCCCGATCAAATGCCATACCAGGGCAGCTGAAATTTACCCCTCTATTAGGCTCTATATCATCAGGACCTAGATTAATGTGCATTCGATCTCAAAAACACTGTGAATGCACGTGTTCGAGGGGGGAATAATCATGTATTGCAGTATTAAAAGGATTGTAATAATACCGTGGAACGATGAGAATACACTTTTTCGTGGAGTGAGAATAACACTTCGGATTATTTATGTGGGGAGTGTACAGAGTGGACAGTGTATGTGAAATTTTGTATTTTAATCGGAATGTATTGGTTATTCGTGGGTGAGGTAGCACGGAGGGACGAGGATTTCTATTGATTAGATATAACACTTTCGTACTGATCCTTCGTCTGACGTGTTCTGGGGAGGTTAGAGCCAAACGTGTAAATTAACTTAGGAAAAAGTTTTTTTGGGGAGGAAAAACTGGAAGACCAGAGAAAATCGTGGGGAGATAACGTGAGGGAAGAATGGCCTCACGAGCTTTCAAATTCTCAATCGAACAAGTCGAAAATCTTCGAAGGAAAGATCATTTTCGATTTAATAGGAATTTTCTTGATATAGAATATTGTTAATTGGATGGAATATTTTTTATTTAACAGCAAAGTGCATTCTTGAATGGGAAATATTTCATTTTTTAATGAAATTCTGATTCAAGAGTTCTTTTTTTCTGTGACAAACGTGTAAATTAATTTGGAAGAAGTGTTTTCTTGGAAATGAAAAAACAAGAGAAACAGAAGAAATCATGGCGAATACGCGAGTGAAGAATAACTTTACGAGTTTTCAAATTTCAATCAAACAAGATAAAAATCTTCGAAGTAAAGATAATGTTCTCGATTGAATATTCTATAATAGTAATATTCTCAATATCAGAATCTTGCTGTTCTTATACTGTTGAGAAAATTGTTGATTGGATGAAATATTCTTAATTTAAGAATACAATTAATTCTTAAATGGGAAATATTTCATTTTTTAATGGCATCCTGATTCACGAATTCTTTTTTCCTGTGACAAACTGAGTAATACGTAATTCCAAGACTCAAACGTGTAAATTAATTTTGAAGAATTGTTTTTGTTGGCGACGAAAAAGCGAGAGAAACAGAAAAAAATGGCGAAAACGCGAGTGAAGAGTAACTTTACGAGTTTTCAAATTTCAATCAAACAAGACGAAAATCTTCGAAGGAAAGATAATGTTCTCGATTGAATATTCTATAATAGTAATATTCTCAATATCAGAATGTTGCTGTTCTTATATTATTGAGAATATCGTTAATTGGATGAAATATTCTTAATTTAAGAATACAATTAGTTCTTGAATGGGAGATATTTCGTTTTTCAATGGAATCCTGATTCAAGAATTATATTTTTCCGTGACAAATTGAGTAATACGTAATTCCAAGGGTAATGCGTGTACATACGCAATGATTAAAAGGACGAAAGATAACGAAGGCATAATTTTAGTGATTATAGTAAGGAAAAAAAAAGACGCCAGTTCATCTATGTTTATTACTACGTTTTGATTTTGTCTTCCAAAGTAATCTGTCATGGAATGACGTGCTTCATTTATATCACTATTTCTTAATTGTTTTAGTTGTTTTGTTTAATAAACGAGCATTTCAGTTTGGTTATTCTGAATGAACTGTTTAAAAGAGAATTATTACGTTCGCATCATTGGACTGAATAGGGTATCGCGTGGACAATGAGATGAAGATGATTACGAGGGATTTGTTAACATTTTTCCCTGTCTGTGGAACAAAAATTGATGATTTTGGATCTCTTGTCGCGGCTCAAGTGTCACTGTTGTATCAAATACATTAATGGTAAATTTATTAATTTATCATGCTCATTTTTTTATTATGAAGTAAGTTAAGAACTACATGATATACAAAGTATGGAAATTTATAAGAATATTAAATAAATGTACAGTTTATATATTTTAAATTAAACATGCCGAGATAAATTTACTTGTGGTTTTTTACCTTTCATAGATAGTCCAATAGTCATTTTAATTCACTTTTTTTTTAATTTTCAAAGTATTGACATTGAATTGCAACATCAATTAATCCTTTTGAATACATAAGAAAATTATTGCGATGAAAAAAATAGCAAATTTGACTCAAAAAATGTCAATTATCTTTTTAAAAATATTTGAACAACTGAGAATTACATCAAACTATTAATTTATCGTTTTCAATGCATAAAAAAATTATTCAGATGAAAAAAACTCCAAAGTTAAAACAAAAATGTAAATTCACTGCTTTAAAATATCGAAAGTATCCAGAATTACATTTCAAAAATTAATTCATTAAATTTTATACATAAAATCATCCCTTTAATTTAAAAAATTAAACAAATTAACGCAAGTGAAAATATTTAAACAATCAAGAATTGCCTGAAAATTCAATTCATAATTTTCCAATTCACGAAAAAAATGACGAAAAAATTGCAGAATTGACGAAAAACGAATCTAAATTTTCAAAAAAATGTTTATAATCCCATAGTCGATAAAATAGAGACCCCAAAATTGCAAATCCCACTAATTCCTACCCTATTCACCGAACATCCCAGCAAAAAGCCTTATCAACATTCCACAGAACAGACTTCCCCTCTGATTAACATAAAATTCCAATCCCCCCATATGTCAGCAGCTGGTCTCCCAGCACAATAACCACAATAGCCATCCCCTATTGAATGGTCTACCGAATAATAAAAACCCGTACTTGACTGGCTGTCTGCTCAGTGGCAGTGTGAATCACCAGATATCGTAGTTGTTGGCCCTCCCCTCTTATAGTGACAGTGACGTACGAAATGGAGTGAAAATCATCAGTTTCCGCGCTTTGTCCTGTCCCCATAAACTCAGTGGTGCTGTCATTCCCTCGACACTCTATTTACCCAAAAATTCCTGAATATCTGGTGAACCCGTGATAAACAGCAGATTAATTCCCACATTCCACTCCAAAAATACAATTTAAAGCGTAAAAAGTGTTCAATTGAAGAGTTTAAAGTTTCCTGAAACGTCTAAACAACAGCAAAATAATAAACAAGATCAACAAAGATCAGAATTCATTGTCAACACGAGATAATGACGTGAATTGGAGGCATGCAGGCTGTTGACAGATAACAAAGAACAATCATTCGAGGAAGTCCAAGTGAAAATAAGAACAGGGGGGCGTTATGGAGGGTGGCATAATAGAAACACCAGACACAACTCAGAGTGCATCGAGTTACGAGGAATTGTCGAACAATGGGTGTTGCAATCCAAAGGGCAAGCCCTGGAGATTCCTCGGACTTGCACTCATGTGTCTACTGGGCTTTGGCTCGTACTTTTGTTACGACAATCCTGCTGCCCTGCAGGATTACTTCAAAAATGACCTCGGCATGTCCACGAGTCAGTTTGTACTGCTGTACTCCATCTACTCGTGGCCAAATGTCGTTCTGTGTTTTATTGGAGGGTTTCTCTTGGACAGTGTCTTTGGCATTCGTCTCGGGACTATTATTTACATGGGACTGGCCCTTGCTGGACAACTGATATTCGCCACTGGGGCCATCTTCAATGCTTTCTGGACCATGATGATGGGGCGGTTGATATTTGGGTAAGGGGTTCATTTTTTGAGGGATTGGGGTGATGAGGAGTTTTTAGTTTCAGGGGGTTTTATAGTATTTTCAAAGTAATTCTCATTGTTTTTGAGATGGCTTATACGACCATTCGCTTTTTTAAATTTTTGAATTCAATTGCATAAGAAAATTTTGGAAATAATCCATACCTGGTTAATATCAGCCAAATTACATTTTTGGATAGCAATAATTTTTTGGATATTGATGTCTCATAAATACATAATGGAACTTGTTTATAAAGCGGTGTTAAAAATGAACTTTCAAAAAATTTCTCGTTTTTTGACATTTAATGGACGAATGCAGATTTTAATTGCGATAAAAATGTTGATTTTCACGTGAGACTCTGGGTTAAATCCTGACTTTGCAATATTTTATTTTTTAAAAAGCAGAACCATCATTAAATTGAGAAGAAAAAAAATAGAATTCCGGAGCTAATCGAGTTTTCTGCGAATTTTTTGTAGTTTTCAATAATTTTTAAATTTATCGTAACTATTTTGGTGACTATTATCATGTAATTTCTATTTTTTAAGCAGTGCATTTTCAATGGCACAATTCCTTAAAATTTCTGTGGAACTGGCATTTGATAAAATAATTTTTTATACTTGAATCAGAATTATCTATTGCCATTGTATTAACAATTTAATAGTAATTTTATGGAGCCCGAATTTAAATTGAATTTGGGGAGAAAAACTCATGACATTTCAGTTTCACTGAAAATTGAATGAAAATCCCAACTTTTTCGCAATTACTTCCATGAATTTCTGATGAAAACTAGATTAAGAAATTGAGTAGCAAATTACAATCAATTTTCAGTTAATTAAAAATTAAAAATATTAAAAAATTTGCCTGAATTTTCCTGACATATCCCCCCCGTCCCTGAGAAATTCAAAAATTCAATTCCAAAGTGATTATTTTTCAAATATCTCAAAAACTACCAAGTTTGGAGAAAAATGCCAAGCGATCATCTTTGAAGGGCATGAAATCCCCCAAAAAACATCCCACAATTCCCTCAGATTCTGCAATATTTATCAAGAGCCGATCTCCACCCGGCGTTTCCTCCCAATGTCGTTCTCACCACTTCGCTGCTCCCCAAACCATTCAAATTACTATTCTCGCCCTCAGAATTGGAGCAGAATCTCTCGCAGTAGCTCAAAACAGTTACGCAGTCCTCTGGTTCAAAGGAAAAGAATTGAACATGGTATTCGGCCTCCAGCTGTCCTTCGCAAGACTAGGCTCAACCGTAAACTTCCTCGTGATGGAGCCGATCTACGGTTACGTGGCTAAATCGTACTCAGGTGCCCAGTGCATCGGAGCTGTTCTCTTCCTGGCGTCTCTCACCTGCGTATTCTCGATGCTCTGCGCCGTGTCCCTGAGCCTCATGGACAGACGCACCGAGACTTTACTCCGTCGAGGTCACGGTGAAGAGAAAGAGGTCATCAGATTGACGGATGTCAAAAGTTTCAACGGAATCTTCTGGCTCATAGCTATTATCTGCATCGCCTACTACGTGGCTATCTTCCCCTTCATCGCGCTTGGGAAGTACGTATCACCCCGGCGTTTTCCCCAATTATAAATATCGATTGATAATTCATGATTCATTCTCTAATTTTATTGATTATTTTCGTTCTTACTTGCGCGAAGCCAATTGCAAGACAAAAATCAACTTTGTGAAACGTTTGACAATTACTTTTACTATTCTCTGATGAGACAAATTGGAACATAATCATGACATTTTTAATTTTACGGACAATTCAGTGAAAAGCCAATTTTTTTAGCACTGGGAGAAGGAGAATTCCGCAATCTACTTGAATTTTTAATAAACACGTTCATTCTCTAATTTTATCTATTTTTATTTTCATTTATTTATTTATTTCATTTCATTTAATTCCATTAGACCTCATAAAACTGACAATGAATTTTACTATTTTCTGATGAGACAAAATTTGAATTGTCTGCGAAATTATGAATTTTCAGATAAATGTTTCCAACAGTGCTTAATAGTTTGTGGGTAGTAAATCACTGAGATAAAATTCGAATCATAATTATCAATTGGGATTTCACGGACAATTTCATAATAGTTTCAAGGGGGCGAGATTAAATTCACTTTAGGGAGGAAAAAAAACCACGAAATTTCATATTCTACTCGAACTTGAATTTCCAATCAATTAAAAATTCAAGAATATATCTACCTGCATCTGAGTTCAATGATCTCTGTTAAATTAAATTGTGAAGTCTAAATAAATTATTCTCCTTTCAGAGTTTATTTCATGAGGAAATACGAGTTCGACGCAGCATCCGCCAACACAGTGAATTCATTAATTTACTCAATCTCAGCGATTGCTTCACCTGTCTTCGGTTATGCTGTGGACAGACTGGGGAAGAATGTCCTTTGGGTGTTCCTCAGTATCATAGGGACCATTGTGGCCCACGGACTGCTGGCCTTCACCTACGTCGACCCTTACGTTTGCATGATCACCATGGGGCTCTCTTACTCGATGCTGGCCAGCAGTTTGTGGCCCCTGATTGCTCTTGTCATTCCAGAGTATCAACTGGGGACTGCCTATGGCATTGCTCAGGCTGTTCAGAACCTAGGACTTGCTGTGGTATCGATCCTCGCTGGGATGATTGTCGACAGGGGAGGGTACCTCATGCTCGAGATGTTTTTCCTCGGCTGGCTCTGGGGTAAATATTTTCTTTTCATTGAAAATGAATATGATTGTTCGGGGTCCCCCCGGGGCCAGAGCTGCTGAAGAATTCGAGAGATATTTTTTTCTAGGGAATTTCATGGGAGAACATCTCTTGACATTTTTCTTCAACGCCGTCAGGTCTTTAATAGGAAATTTATTCAGTTTTTAGAATAAATGGAGCATTTTTTGTTCAGATGGATTTTTAGAGGAATTTGTCTACTTTTTTAGAGGATTTCATGAGCTATAAAAAACCTCTGTTAAAGATATTTAATCATTAAAATTTGGGAATTAAATTGCGCGAAAAATAAATAATTGAAATTGTCTAAACAATTTCTGGTTAAATTTTGAATATGAATAACTTTGTTGCAATTTCGAACAAAGAATTTTTATGGTGGCAAATTAATTGTTTATAATTTATTTCTAATAATTGCAATTTTTTTAACGAGTACCTCTCCCAAAATAATTAATCCAGACTTAATTTTACTTAACGTTTAATTAAATATCGTCGGAGAAGATAGAGCTTCAGAAAAATTTCCGTCAAAACGAAATCCGAAATAGATTTTCTCATTTTGCAAATATTTTCCAAGTGACGAAGTTTACAGAAATCAATTAAGAAACTTTTTCAAAAATTTCCTGGACCTCTTTTGGCATTTTTCCTCTGCTCATTAGTTTCTAAAATATTCAAATAATTATCTCTTCTCCAAAATAAATGATCTCTGTTGAGAAAAATTTGTCAATAGACTTTGTAAATAATTTTCCGGCCCCAAAAGAGTTCTTCCGGTATATTTTAACGTATCAGATCCACAGATACTTTACTTCATGCAATTCCATTGTTCTTATTTTCAGTATCTCTAGTTACAAGCGTGATAATATGGGTAAACGATATATCTAAAACGGGAGGCTATCTGAACATGACACCAAAACAACGAGAGATCTACGAGGCTAGTCGACCAACAGTAGACAGACTGGAGCGTGAAAAACTTCTATCAAACGAATCAACATCTGACTTATCCGCCGACGACTTGTTACAGCCCCAGTCCGACATAAGTATACGAAATCGCTATCTCTCCAGAATTGGAGCGACGGTAATTTGACTCATTTAACCCTAGTCCTAAATTTTAGTGGAACAGGACTTTTTGGCGTCGATTTTTTGGTCCCTATAGATTTTTCGGCGCTCTGTATCAATAACAAAATTTTCATCTTTCAAAAAAAAAATAAAAATTTCATTTTACATTTTTATTTTACTGAAAAGAATTATTATTCATGGATTTTCTCAATATTTTCCTCTATTAAATTCATTTTTTTTTTACATTCATCCAACACAATAGATAACAATAATTCAAGTCACGGTTTACTATCAATTTACAAATGTGGTCACGCTGACCCATTCTAGATTTCCAAATTCCGTAAAATTAATTTTTTTTCATCACCATGCGCGGTTCAATTATTAAATAAATGTTTTCATATGCGCCAAAATCACTACGTGCGCCAAACAAATCAGCGCCAAAAAACGTACCGAAATTTTAGATGAAAAGAGTGCACACTAACGAGTAGAATAATCATTTTGACGTAATAAATTTTACTTTGTTTAGCTCCCAGGGCCGGTTAAAGCCACTGCGTACAGAGCACTACGATGACCGGTCATTATTTAGGCCCATTAAATTGCATAATCCACTAATATCACGTGTATCGGACGATAATCGATATTGCTCACTGTGTCTTCCCCCCCTTGTCGCAGCATGGCATAATTAATCTGTGATACATTGATAGAATTAACGTTAATGTAAGAGCATAATATATCGACAATTTATTGACAGAGACGTTTTATCGTGTTTGAAGATACAGAAAACGATAATTGTTGATTAAACCCTGCTCCGTGTATTTTATCTAATTTTTTGGGTGTTTTAGCCTTTCTATCCTGGGGGATGAAACTGTTTTTACGCTGGAAAAGAATAGATCACCCCCAGAGGATAATTCACACCGAAGAAATGATAAATCAACCCAACAGTCGTGTTATTTCATTCTTGAGATTGTATACCTTAAGAAGAGATGAAATAAACTGGAGAACTGAGAGAAACAAAATATTGTCTCAAAGCAATTGGCTCAACCAAAAAAATTGCAAGTTTGAAAGTACAAGAAATTAATCCTTAAATTAAATAATAATGGAGATTTTGAAAGTATAACAAAATAATTATTGATGAACTTCTCTTCATATTTAGATATTTTCATCCTTGAAAGGAATTAAAGTAATTTATTAAATGTAAATACAATTGGGGTTTTAAATTCGAATAATTTTTTTTTGTAATTTTCAACTGGCGATTTTTTGGCCCAAGCAAGACTTGTTTGAGAACTTATTTATTTTTCAGAGTGCAGGCAAGGGTTAATTCACATTTAGTGTTTTTCGTGTGAATCTGTAATTATTCATAGAGAAATCTGAAGGTTGATGAAGGAGTAGTGACGCACAATAATTATTGAGGAATTATATTGAGTAATGATCAATTGATGCAGTGAGGAACTGGTGAAAGAGACTGAGTCAATCCCAGGGTCTCATCCGGGACTATTTCAGCCTGTTTCACCCCTTCGTAACTCACTACTAGCAAATAAATCAACAGATATGCATTTTATAAAGAATGAATCATAATAGAATTAGAAGTAAGACGAAGATTATGGGAAATTTGGTGGAGTGCAAGTGTGTACTGTAATTCTGTTTTATAATAAAACATCTGATCATTCCAATTTGATTGTTGATCGAATAAATGTTGTATCAAATTATTCTTTTATTCTGGAGATTATTCATGAGGTGAATTCCCTTTATTGAGGAGAAATGGAAGTGGCAAATCAGTCGCAAATCAGTGGCAAATAACGTTAAAAATGAAATAAAATAAGATAATTATAATCCGCAAATACATATGTCGCTAAATTCTCTTCAATAATATAAAAAATGTTAATGAACATTTTATTTTAACAATGGATCGAATGACCCCCGTCCTCCCTCCACCCCTTGACCCAACACGCGGTGAATTCCCCCTATTCATCGAAAATGGGGGTAAAAATTCATCAAACTAGCGTGCATTGTCCGTTATCTTAAAATTTTTGCTGAATTGAATGTGGGACGTGGATTCTACGTGTTTATACTCATGCATGATGATGATAAATACACTTACACGAGCCAGGAGCATCGTCAGAGGATCGATGAGCGATGGGGGGAGAACAGCTGTGCGCAGTGTTCAACACGTGTGTTTCCACTGTACACATTGGTTCGAGTGGTGCGAGTGATTGTCCGTTCTGCCATGATATAGAGCTTTGTTATTTGTTAACGGTGATTGAGGGGTTCTAATAGGGCATCATGGGGGTGCACGACAGCACAGACTCAAAGTACAATGTTATGGGGGGCAACAGTTTCTCGAAACTCACTCCGAAACGTCCGAATACAGTGAATTTCTTCAGTGATGGGCCGCCCAACAAAATTACGAAACACGAGGCGGCGGAGGGACAGCTCAATGGGGTTGGGGAGGGGAGCAAAACCGGCGGCAATATTCAACAGCAGAGGAAGGCTCTACCTGTCTATAAACACCGAAAAAAGTAATTACATCAAGTTTTTCAGAGAAAATTCAATGATGACGGAGTAAAATCGTGAAATGACAACACGAGGTTATTCTGTAGTTCGGCCCGACTGCCGCGAGGTGGCGGTGGGGCTCTGATGTCACCGCGAAAATCTCAATTCAAATAATTCGAAATAATTCAATCGGAAAATTGTGCTTGTTGTTCTAATCGGTGGGGAAATTGGCGGCGAGGGAGCAATGGATTTACAAATATTTTTTAATGAGGGGGAGACAGATTTTTATGGGGATTTTCTTTTGCTGAGGGAAAATGAAGGAAAAAGACTGGCTTCAATTGAAAACAATTGAATCCACGGGAAAACGTCCCGTATATCCACGGTCAAAGTTACCGTGGAGCTTGTGAATAGACACTGCCAATTTTTTTTGGAAAGTAAAAATTTTTCTGAACGTTGAAAGTATGAATTGGCTTTTTCACTTTGAGCAGTTGGGAAACACTTTAGAAATCTTAGAAAAATGACTTTCTTAATTTTCGACGAAGAATTATAAGAAATATTAAATTACAATTTTCGGAAATTACAACTGCCGTTCATGAATAATTCATAAACAATCAATTTGCCACCGTGAAAATAATTTCTTCGAAATCGAAATCGATGTATTCATATTCAGAATCTGCCCAAAGCTCGATCATAAGCAAAAAATAATTGCCTTCCGCAAGTTTAGAGAATTTTTGTTATTTATTCATGACCAGGAAATATTAAAAAAGTACTTCCTGCCAAAATTTAATTTAACTGACGCTCATTTCCCCCGCATTTTCTAAATTTTTCTCACGTAATTCACCACAATTGTCAAATTTCACGATTAAAAATTACCAAATTCGTATTAGGCTCCCCAGACATTGAAATAAGAGGTACTTGAACATCTTTGAAATGAATAGTTTTCAAAATAAAAAATAGCCAACAACTTCCTCAAGCTCAACCGTCAAATCCAAGCAAAACCAAAATAAAAGTACTTGTTTTACAATCTCAAAATTCGACATACGAAATTAAAAAAAAAATAACTCCGAGTGGAAATAATGAAAAACAGAAAAGGTCCAGAGAAAATCTAGAACAATTCCTCGCAGCCGCCTTCCCCCTTGCCCGCACCTCGAAAAGGAAAAAAATCCCTCCAAATGTTCCAGATTACTCGAAGAAATCCGTAAACACAGCAGCCTGATAATAATCGGTGAAACAGGAAGTGGAAAAACCACGCAAATCCCGCAGCTCCTCCTGGCCTCAGGGCTGGTGTCTCCCTCCGGTTGCATAGGAGTGACCCAGCCCCGTCGGGTAGCGGCGGTGAGCATCGCGCGTCGAGTGGCGCAAGAACAAGGGGTCCAATTAGGCAAGCAAGTGGGCTACTGCGTCCGTTTCGAGGACGCAAGTACCCCCGACACGCGAATAAAGTACCTAACCGACGGTATGATGGTGCGCGAAGCGATGAGAGACGAGAATCTCTCCGACTACTCCATAATAATCCTGGACGAGGCGCACGAGCGTTCGGTCCAGACGGACGTGCTCCTGGGGGTGGCGCGTCGCGCCCAGAACCTTCGAAAGCTGAAGGGCCAGGCGCCGCTGAAGCTGATCGTAATGTCGGCGACGATGGACGCGGACAAGTTCCGAAAGTACTTTCAGGTAGGGACGCAAAATTACATGATGATGACAATTTTCTACACGGAGAGAAATATTCAAGAAAAATTTAGGAACATTTCACGTAATCCGCAAGCGAGAATCGTTTTCAGTGAATTTCTGTAGGAATATAAGAGAATAAATCTGAAACGTTCAGTAAATTTTCGGGTCTGTCACCGAAAAAATACGAAAAAGTCACGTAATTTTTCTGGAAGTTGTAACATCTAACAGAAACTTCAAGATTTATTATACCTCAGAACATGAAAATTCTTGGATGTTTAAGAATTTTTACGAAAAGTTCCGGGAAAATTACGGAACGTGTTGTTAAAATCTCGCCCTCACGGTGACTCATGGCTAGCCGTCAGGCGTCGGACAGATGAGTAATTTTTACGGAACAGATCGTAGAATTTACGTGACGATTGACACTTTTTATTGAATTTTACTTCCCAGATTACGTTTCGAAACGTAATTTTTACGTCTTTTTTCTGGTAATTTTTATTGAATATTTCGTAAATTTACCGTTTTCCGACTATTTCTGACTTGACGCGTATCTCGTGATGCAAACTGATCGATTACTCAATCCAGGAGCAAAGTGGTAAACCGCACGGAGAGAAATGTTCAGTAGAAACTACGGAGCTCACAATCCGCTCACTGATTACGGAATGGACTCCGAAAATTTAATTGAAGATATCGTAATTTTCCCCAGTTGATTCAGATAAAAATTGCGGAAAGCTCTGTAAAAATTCCGTGACAGTTCCGTAAAATGTCCTCAATTTCCACAACCCCATTTCGCTCGGGAATTGCGGAAAAGATACGTAATTTTTATTGAACATTTCCCGCCGTGTGTAGAATGCCGGTAAATGCCCGATTTTCCCCGTTCCCTCCCTTCTTCCAGGCGCCCGTGATCTTGCCCGTAATTTTTACGTCTTTTTTCTGGTAATTTTTATTGAATATTTCTCCCCGTGCACATGCGTCGAGTCAGCCGTAAATTTACCGTTTTCCGACTATTTCTGACTTGACGCGTATCTCGTGATGCAAACTGATCGATTACTCAATCCAGGAGCAAAGTGGTAAACCGCACGGAGAGAAATGTTCAGTAGAAACTACGGAACTCACAATCCGCTCACTGATTACGGAATGGACTCCGAAAATTGAATTGAAGATATCGTAATTTTTCCCAGTTGATTCAGATAAAAATTGCGGAAAGCTCTGTAAAAATTCCGTGACAGTTCCGTAAAATGTCCTCAATTTCCACAACCCCATTTCGCTCGGGAATTGCGGAAAAGATACGTAATTTTTATTGAACATTTCCCGCCGTGTGTAGAATGCCGGTAAATACCCGATTTTCCCCGTTCCCTCCCTTCTTCCAGGCGCCCGTGATCTACCTCGAGGGTAGACAGTACCCCGTGAACATCTACCACACGACGCGATGCCAGGACGACTACGCATTCGCCTCGCTGGTGTCGGCCTTCAAAATCCACCGCGAGGCGCCAGCAAACGAGGACATTCTGGTGTTCCTCACTGGCCAGGAGGAGATCGAGGCGGCTGTGATGACAGCGAGACAAGTGGCCAAGCAATTAGAGAAGACTAGCGAGGGCTATCCCCCCCTCAAAGTATTTCCATTGTACTCAGCTCTGCCGACTCATCAACAGCTGGAGGCGTTCAAGCCATCGCCCCCGGGGATGCGCAAACTTGTTCTATCGACGAATGTGGCCGAGACATCGGTGACGATAGGGGGAATAAGACACGTAATCGATACGGGGGTCGTGAAAGTCAGGACACATCATCCAACGACGGGCCTCGACGTGCTGAGGGTTGAGAAGATATCGAGGGCTCAAGCCTGGCAGAGAACTGGCAGAGCCGGACGCGAGTGCCCAGGGAAGTGCTACAGGACGTACACTAATGCCGACTTTGAGAGGATGAAGGAGATGCCTGTCCCCGAGATCCAGAGGTGCTCGCTGGCTGGGGTTGCTCTGCAGCTGTTGGCCATTGGGGTCGACATCACGAGCTTCGATTTCATGGATAAACCTCCGAAGGACGCCGTCGACGTCGCCGTGGGGTGTCTGGAGAAGCTGGGGGCCGTCAAGGGATCACCCCCACAACTCACCACCATGGGGAGGACTATGGCGCTCTTCCCACTCGATCCGCGGTTCACTAAAGTTCTTCTCGCGTCGGTGGAGCACAAGTGCCTCGAAGAAGCTTTGACCGTTGTGGCGGTGCTTTCGGGGGAGTCTGTGTTCACGGAACCACCGGCCAAGCGGGAACAGGCCCAGGCTGCCAGGGCGAGGTGAGGTACTGGGGAACAGGGGAAGGGATTTTGAAGGCTTTCATTTTTTTATTTTAGGCCCCGGGGGATTATCTCGCGAACGTTATCTCGAGTGTTTTTCCATCTTCACGGTGGAAAATATATCACAATTTCCAGTGGGTCTTCATTAAACGCTCTTTGAAAATGTTTAGATTTCTTTTATACTTTTTTTGATTGTCATTGTCAATCATAATTTTTGGAGACTCCAGGGCTATGTAAAATTGAATAGCAATTGGAGATCATTTCAGATTATCAAAGTAAAAAAAAATAACCAATAATTAATTTGAAATATGTTGATGGGGGGGAATTCATTTTGGGGGGCATGGATTTCTTTGGGGATTGGGGAGGCGGATTTGATTGGATATTTGATTCGAGTTGAAAGCTCTTCATTTTTGCACTGAAATGCAGATCTTCTAAGGCACTTGCGAAATAATTTTACAGAAAAACTTGGGGGATTCGCTTGAATTGGTTAACATTCTCTGGCATCAAGAACATAAATAAGAATTATTTTTTACCTTTAGTATTGGAACATCAAAATGATAAAATGGGAAAGAGGAGAAACGAGGAAATCTATTTTGATTGGCTTGATTTGCATGGGGAATCCATTTTGTGATGCATGGATTTTTTAGGGTTTTGTGGGGACGGATTTGATTAGATATTTCATTCGATTTGGAAGCTCTTTCTTTGTGCAAAAAAATTAAAAGTAAAAAATAAAAAAAATGAGATGACAAATTTCGTTGAAAGACCTTAATTTCGTTTCCAACTTCAACACAAAGGAAATGTCCTAAAGTATGTGATCGATGAACATTCTCTTGCATTAAGAAAATAAATAAGAATTATTTTTCACCTTTAACATTGCATCATCGAAATGATAAAATGGGAAAGAGAAGGAACGAGAAAATGATGAGGCAAAAAGGGTGGAAACGGTGAGATAAAAAGAACCTCTTTAAATGATAGATATCTCGTGACCCAACGATGCGATTCGGACGAATCAGCGCTCGTTTTATCCCCTGAAAAAAAAACCTTCAAAATGTAAAAAAAACAATTTTCAAATTTCACGCTGCCAATCCTGAGTTATTATCAATTAAACACGGATAAAAAAATTGAATAGAAAAACCTAGCGAATTCGATTTTTCTATACAACTTAATCTAATAAAATATTTTCAATAGAATTCCCTCGGCTCAAATTTCCCAAGTTTTTTCGTCTGATCTTCTTCATCAGAAGAAAATAAAAATAGAATGAAAAAGCTTAAAAAATTTGAGTCAAAGAAATTCTATAGAAAATTTCTTCAGAGAAGTTACGTAGAAAAATCGAATTCTATTGACTTTTTCTATTGAATATTTTCTAAACATTGAATATTTCAATAGAATCGCTCAAAAACTAATAGAAAGTTCAACAAAAATCCAGTAGAATTTTCCAACGAATTCCCTAGGTTTTTCAATTAAATTTTTTCGTGCGTGAACAGTCTATTTTCCCCACTTCTTCCTTGAACAATTATCTCTCCCTTTATTTTTACCCGCAAGCAAATAATTTTTCCCCCCGAAAATCCAACAGATTCGCCTCCCCCGAGGGCGACCACGTGACCCTCCTCAACGTGTACCGAGGCTACACGGCCGCCGGCCAAAAAAAGCCCTGGTGTCACGACAATTTTCTCCACCCCAGGAACTTGGAATACGCCACGGAGGTACGTAAACAGCTCGCTGGATTAGCAGAGAGGGCTAATTTGGAGAGTGCAAGTTGTGGCAGTAACACCGAGTCATTAAGAAAATCATTACTCGAGGGCCTCTCGGATAATCTCGCTGAACTGCAACGAGACAACACTTACCTGACGGTAAATATTCTGAATAAATTGGGACGATGATGATAACGCGGGCATAATTGATCAGAATACTTTTTCAGACTCATGAATATACATTTATTGATCGTTTTCAGCTGAGCACGAGACAACCAGTTGCCATTCATCCGTCCTCTACTTTGCATACATTGAGGCCTCAGCTTGTTCTTTTTACCGAGGTTGTTGCCACTGGAAGGTGTTATCTGAGGGATCTATCGGTCATCGAGCCATCGTGGATTACCACTAAATGATGATTGAATCTGAATTTCTGATTAAAATCGTTGAGTTGACATTTTTTTACGGAAAATCCTAGCGTTTTCTGCGGATTTTTTGACCCGATAAAAACACTTCAGACACTGAGTTTTTTTATATCGGTGAATGATTGAAAGTAATGAGTTGCAGGCGATTGAAAATGGCGAATGGTTTTATATCACTTCGTATCAATTTTTGTATTTGTTAAATATAAGGAAATTCAGGCCACGAATCTACAGTTTTTGTACCAACGAAATGAAAATTGTTTATATCTCGATTTTTCTATATATCCGACGTTTTGGTAATAAAAGTGACGGAATAAAATATTTGTTTTATTGTTATACCCCTAATGATGATTGAATATTAATTGTTGATTAAAATCGTTGAGGTGAGGTTTTTTTAATGCAAAATCCTCATGTTTTCTACGGGTTTTTTGATCGAATGAAAATACTAAAGTATTTTTAAAGGAGTACTAGAAGTATTTAAGTGTCGAAAGACATATTTTTTTAATTTTGTTAAATGGTTGAAAGTAATGCGTTGCAGGGAATTAAAAAGGGGGTTTATATTACTTCATATCAATTTTTGTATTTCATAAATATAAAAAAATTCACCCAACAAACGAATCTACAGGCTTGGTTTCCACGAAATAAAAATTATCCATATCTCTCGATTTTTCTGTACATTTGACATTTCAGTAGAAAAAGCGATGGAACAAAGTACCGGATTAATTTTAATTGACCTAAATATAAAAATCCTTTTTAAACTACCGACAATAATAATTACAACTTAATTGTTAATTACAGTCGTTAAATTTTTACTTCATTTTTTACAAAAAATTACATTAACGGTTCGCATGAACTTTTTCCTTACAAATTAGTGAATTACAGGTGATTGAAACTGTCTGAATAATGACGTGAAATGATGTTAATAATTTAAAAAATCTCGAACCGAAAACTGAACTCTACAATTTTGCTCTCAATGAATTAAAAATTGTCCACATCTCTAAATTTTCAGCACACTCACATTTCGCCGTTAAACCCCGATGAAACAAAATATCGGATTCATTTTCATTGCCCTATAAAAACCCTCCGTACGATATCCACCCACACCCCTTGTTTTCACAGACAACAATGCCCTAATGTTATTTTCAAATGATCAAAAACCATCACAAAATCACGAGTGCAATCGATTTCATTATTCAATACATTCAACAGGTAGAACCCCGACATGTCCAAATATCTTTATTTTATAACCCGACTACTGTTTACCCCGTCGTTTATTTTTAATCACCAAATTTCCGGGCGTTAATAGACCCCGAGATTTTCACGAGTTTTAAAACTACCCGTGTGCGTTCAGCAATATTTCCCTAATGAAAATTTAATCTCGGGGTAAATAATGGTTTACGACGTACTATGGGACTAAATGTCATTGTCTCTTCACTTAAAACTAAAACGGACTATTTCTTGCTTTATACTACTAAATTAAACTAAACTAAACTAGACTAAATATTCATTCCTCATGGAGAGAAAAAAGTTGTGATTTTTAGGAACATGTCAATGATTTTTAGAAATCTATCATCAATTATTAGTGCACGGAAAAAAAAATTCACCTGAATTGAGTATAAAATATACTTGAATCGAAAATAATATACTTGATTCTGGTATTTTTTTTCCGTGTGATACTGGGCACTGACTAGATCATTCATGATTTTTATCACTGAAATTTGATGATAGATTTCGAGAAAATTGGAGATGAATTCCAGAAAATGAGCGACGATTTCACTGGAAATTAGTAATAATGTCACTAAAAATTGCTCCAAAAATCGCTGAATTTCGCAAGTGTGAATCTTAACTAATTAGCGATAAATTCCTGAAAATCAAAACTTTTTTCTCAGCGCAGAAATTGCGTGAAATCATTGAATTCATCGAAATTCCTGAAATCAAGTGATTGTCTTCCTATATACCTTTCGAAATTTTTTTTTTTTTCGTGAATTATTTTCAGAAGAGTGGGGCAAAAAAAATTACTGTAACAAAGCTTTAAATTAAGGATATCCAAGTATCCCAATCATTTTCAATCATCAAATTTGTCAATTAAAGTGCCTGACAAAAATTTGAAAAAATTCATGAATATTCAGCGTCATTCAAATTACATTTTTCACAGAATTATTATTTTTCAAACATTCGCTGTTTGTAAATAAATAATTAAAATTGTTTAAACATTCGGAAACCTAATTTTTTAATGCATTAACTCGATTTCCTGTAAAAATCTGAATATGAATAATTTTTTTTACGATTCCGAGCAAATGATTTTCTCATCGGAAAACTCATTGTTTATAAATTATTCACCGAAAAAGCTCGTAATTTTTGAAAATTGCAATTGTTTAATTATTTCATCAATCTTCCTCCAAAAGTAATCCTTTCTATGTTTTTTCAAATTTAAAAAATATTTTCCAACGGTTCGATATCATTTAAAATCATTGGAAAGTGTCTGGAAGCTCTGACGTTTCACTACCGAAGGAAATCATTTTACTGAATAAAAAATAGCCCAAGTACTTGGATATCCTTAATACCAAGTCCATCCAAATAGTATTGTCCGCTGAACATCAGATTTTTCATCCTCATCGTGAATCCTCTGATTTAAATTTCTCTCAAATCACTAATCCCGAACTAATAAAATTATTCGAAACCAACTGCAATAATCAAAGTCCTCCCCGAAATCGCTGTAATCGCGTGAAACCGACTTAATTTAAAAGTCATAGTGTCACTGAATCCCGAGGCGAGCGCCCTTCCCTCGAATAATGCCTGAATCCCCCATTTCTACCTCAGCCATATTTTTCTTTCAACTATGACTGAATATCGCACTGAGTTTCTCCACGAAAATGGGAAAACTTTTCCGGAAAGAAGAGAGATACCAACTTCCACCCAGGCGCCCCCAGAAAATCCAAACATCCCGTTGAATGGCTTTTTCCACCGGCGTAAAAAGCGAGTTGATGATGTACAAAAATGAACTCCCAACGAAAAGAAATCTCCTTTCTTAGCCATCATCCCCGGAACAAGACTTTCTCATTAACCACGCGCAATTGACTGCTAAATAATTTCATACGTTATCCCCCAAACAGTCTCTCCTCAAACACTCTTAATGGAAAAACCCGAGAAACCTTTCACCCGTTCATTTTTCCCCCACAAAAAGTCCCCCCCCCCCCCCCCCC